GTCCTCTCGTGCGGCCGTGCCCCTCCCGGGGGCCCCGCGGACGGCGGGAGCCGCCTCGCCCCTCTGCGGAGGTGACCGGCTGACTGAGCGACGAGGGCATGGAGCCGCGATCCGGGCCCGCGCTGCCCGGGTGGGGGCTCGCAGGGAGGGCGATGGGCTGCACTGACCTGCTCCAGCGGGCTTGAACCTGTCGGCTCTTGGCTCACCAGGCTGTCCAGTCCAGGCCAAGCAGTTCTGGGGCCCTAGCTTGGGCGCTGGATCTGAACGAACGGACCATCCAGGCTGCCAGGGCCAACCCCCGCCCGGCCTCCTGCCCCCGTCACCAGGACAGCCATGGAGAAGATGTCCCGAGTGACCACGGCCCTGGGCGGCAGCGCGCTGACCGGCCGCACCATGCACTGCCACCTGGACGCACCAGCCAATGCCATCAGCGTGTGCCGAGATGCAGCCCAGGTGGTCGTGGCAGGCCGCAGCATCTTCAAGATCTATGCCATTGAAGAAGAGCAGTTCGTGGAGAAGCTGAACTTGCGTGTGGGTCGCAAGCCCTCACTCAACCTGAGCTGCGCCGATGTGGTCTGGCACCAGATGGATGAGAACCTGCTGGCCACGGCAGCCACCAACGGGGTGGTGGTCACATGGAACCTGGGCCGGCCGTCCCGCAACAAGCAGGACCAGCTGTTCACCGAGCACAAGCGCACAGTGAACAAGGTCTGCTTCCACCCCACCGAGGCCCACGTGCTGCTCAGTGGCTCCCAGGACGGCTTCATGAAGTGCTTTGACCTGCGCAGGAAGGACTCTGTCAGCACCTTCTCGGGTGAGGCCTGCGGAGGTGGGCTGGGGCGGGTGCTGGTCCCTGCCGGTTCCTGGGCGTCCCAGCCGATTCCTGGGCGTCCCAGCAGGCTGAGAAGTGCCAGCTGTCAGAAGTCCTCAGATGCAGTCCCAGAGCGCTTCTCGGAGCCAGCATCAGAAGAGTGGGTGGTGGCCGGCCTGGGCGAGGTGTGGGCAAGGGCAGGGACTGACGCTGGACAGAGCCCAGCAGACGCAGCATGGGTGCTTGAGCAGGTGACCTCATGCCCGGCCTCCCCGCCCCTCCAGGGTTCTCACCGCAGGATGTGATGTGTGGTGGGGATGCACTGTCCAGTCTACCCGGGGTCCTGGTGGTCAGCCCTGCGCCAGCTCTCTTGTCCACCCTGATGAAACCGTCAGGCACAAGGCGGGACCCATGGAGAATCTGGGGCCTCTTAAGACAGATCCTGTGCTGGGGATGGCAGAGCCCTGTCCTCCTGGGCCCTCAGCATGGGTCCCTGGTGTAGACCCCGCGCTCTGCCCTCTGGCCCTCAGTGCGGGTCCCTGGTGTAGACCCTGTGCTCTTTAGACTTCGGGGCCGACAGGCAGCTCTGAGAAGGAGTTGGGCAGAGGCTGGAGCATGAGGTCCCTAGGGCACGAGAGGAGCAAGCAGGCAGCTAGGTGGGACTCCTGTTCTCCTGCATTGAGGATGGATCAGTTCTGTCCAGGAACGGACGCAGCATGCAGAGTCCAGGGGAGGTTGCGGCCCAGGAGTTTGTGTCCGATCACCCGGGGGCCGAGGTGGCCCACCTGGGAGTGTTCTGAGCTCACGCCCAGAGACCTCCCTGAGTGCCAGGCATGAATGTGCCCTTGGTCCAGAGCTTGTGAGACTGGGGCGGATGGTAGTGTCAAGACTGTCTCCTTCTCATGAAAAAAATAAACTTAAGGAAAACCACCCATGGGACCATCAGGTGGCGTGTTGATTGGGGTGCGGGACTCCTGCATGGCCTACCATCATTCCAATCTCCGACCTGGTGGCTTGAAACTCACCCTAGGTGCGTGTCCCCAGAATCTCAAGAGGAGAACAGAGAAGGGACTGCAGTGTAGACATCGCCTCTGGAGATGATTTCTTGCTTTCTGTCTCTGTCTCTCTTCAGCAAGTGCATATACCCTATGACAGATATATCTAAAAGGGGGGGCAGCAGGTGGCATGACGATTGAGGTGCTGGACTCTCACATGGCCAACTGTGGTTCAAGTCCCAGACCTGGTGGCTTGCTTTCTCGCTGTGATGAGCACGTGTGCACTGTAGCAAGGTAAAAATAATAGGGGACTGGGACCAGCAGATAGCATAACGGCTACGTCACTGGACTCCCATGTGGTTGACCACAGTTTGAGTCCTGGACCTGGTGGGTTAAATACACGCCGGGCACGTGTGCGTGCGTGCTCAAGATCCCAAGAGGAGAATAGAGAAGGGATTGTGGTGTGACCATCCCCTCTGGGGGGTGATTTCTCGCTTTCTGTCTCTATGTCTCTCTCTGTCTGGCTGGCGAGCGCACGCGCCCTACAGTGAAAACCTATCAAAAAAAAAAAAAAAAAGAAAGAAAGAAAACGGCTACCTGTGGACTGACACCAAGTTAAAATTAGTCTATATATCCTACATAGGTAACATTAAAAGAAACTCTCAAAAAAAATAATGGTAATGAATAAAGTGAAATAAATAATTCTTAAAAAAAAAAAGAGGGGCCAGCAGATGGCGTAATGGTGATGTCACTGAACTCCCATGTGACTGATCACGGTTCAAGTTCTGGACCTGGAGGCTTGAATCACACGCCGAGCACGTGTGCACATGTGCCCAAAATCCCGAGGGCAGACTAGAGGGGAAGGGACTGCAGCGTGGTCATCCCTCCCCGGGGGAGGCGATTTCTCGCTCTCTGTCCTTCCGGTGAGTGAACGCACCTTAAAGCAAGAATACCCCCCAAATAAGAAAGACAGGCAGGAAAAACACTGCTGTCCTGCTCTGTGGCCCAGGAGCTTGTGTCTGTCCTGCATGGCTGCTTCCCGTCCCGTCCACCCTGGTGGTTCTTGAGCCTCCTACCTGGCCACAGGCGGGTGTGTGACGCCTCTCAGCCACTGTGAGGACCCGCCCTCACGCCAGCCCTCACGTCCCAACGCCCTGCCACAGGCCAGTCGGAGAGCGTGCGGGACGTCCAGTTCAGCGTCCGGGACTACTTCACCTTCGCCTCCACCTTCGAGAACGGCAACGTGCAGCTCTGGGATATCCGGCGGCCCGACCGGTGCGAGAGGATGTTCACGGCCCACAATGGGCCCGTCTTCTGCTGTGACTGGCACCCCGAAGACAGGTGTGGGTGGGGGTGCGGGCAGGGGGCTCCCGAGGCTGAGTGGGGAGCAGCAGGGCGGGTCATCCACTCCCTGAGCAGCACTTTCTGAGCAGGTACCCCCTGGGGGGCTTCCCACAGGGGCTGGCTAGCCACAGGTGGGCGTGACAAGATGGTGAAGGTCTGGGACGTGACGACGCACCGTGCCAAGGAGGCACACTGTGTGCAGACTATCGCCTCGGTGGCCCGTGTCAAGTGGCGGCCTGAGTGCCGCCACCAGCTGGCCACGTGCTCCATGATGGTGGACCACAACATCTACGTGTGGGACGTGCGCCGGCCCTTCGTGCCAGCCGCCATGTTTGAGGAGCACCGTGACGTCACAACGGGCATTGCCTGGCGCCACCCACACGACCCCTCCTTTCTGCTGTCAGGCTCCAAGGACAGCACGCTGTGCCAGCACCTGTTCCGCGATGCCAGCCAGCCCGTGGAGCGTGCCAACCCCGAGGGTCTGTGCTATGGCCTCTTTGGGGACCTGGCCTTTGCTGCCAAGGAGAGCCTGGTGGCTGCTGAGTCGGGGCGCAAGCCCTATGCTGGCGACCGTCGCACCCCTATCTTCTTCAAGCGCAAGCTGGACCCTGCCGAGCCCTTTGCGGGCCTGGCCTCCAGCGCTCTCAGCGTCTTTGAGACAGAACCTGGTGGTGGTGGCATGAGCTGGTTTGTGGACACCGCTGAGCGCTACGCTTTAGCTGGCCGGCCACTGGCTGACCTATGCGACCACAATGCCAAGGTGGCTCGGGAGCTTGGCCGCAACCAGGTAGGTGGGGAGGCTGAGGGAGCCTGGAGGCCGACGTTGGGGCGGGGCGGGGCTGGCTCCTACGGCTGTACCCACCTCCTACTCCAGTTCAGTGCTCAGCTCTGACCAGCTGCACCCTCAGGCCTTGCCCCTGGACCAGCGTCCCCAGACCTCTAGGCTGGCCTGTGGGGGTGGATGTCTAGGGAGCCCCGAGCCTCATCTCTGCACATCTGTCTCCCTGCCTGGGTTCGGGGCCATGCCGTTGCCTCGTGGCTGTCTCCTGGGCTATTGGAGGAGACCAGGGTTTTGTCTTTCCCGTTGGTCTCCACTTCCCCAGCTGGGCTGAGCACCAGGGGCCTCTGGGGTGCCAGGCGCCTTGTGAGTGACTGCCCTCCCCCACGGCGTGGCAGGTGGCACAGACGTGGACCATGTTGCGGGTCATCTTCTGCAGCCCTGGTCTGGCGGCCGCGGCCAATCTCAGCCTGAGCCTGGGCAAGGGCAGCTCCTGTGGCCTGCCACTCATGAACAGGTAGATGCCGGGGCAGCTCCTGGGGGGCTGCTGGAGCCCACCCACCCACTGGCCCTCCCTGCCCCCAGCTTCAACCTGAAGGACATGGCCCCGGGGCTGGGCAGCGAAACCCGGCTGGAGCGCAGCAAAGGTGACACACGAAGTGACACAGCTCTGCTGGATTCCTCGGCCACGCTGGTCACCAATGAGGGTAGGCCAAGGGCCGTGGGGGAACAACAGTGCCCAGGGGAGTGGACTGGGAGCCTTCAGTGCCTTCCCTCCCGCACCCGGCAGACAACGAGGAAACCGAGGGCAGCGATGTGCCTGCCGACTACCTGCTGGGCGACGTGGAAGGCGAGGAGGACGAGCTGTATCTGCTAGACCCTGAGCACGCACACTGTGAGTCTGGGGCGGGGTGGGCCGGGGCGCGGTGGGGCCAGCCCAGGCCGGACAGGCTCAGCCCCCAGCTGGCCTGGACCTGCCTCCCAGCCGAGGAGCCGGAGTATGTGCTGCCGCAGGAGGCCTTCCCGCTGCGCCACGAGATCGTGGATACGCCCCCTGGGCCCGAGCACCTGCAGGACAAGGCAGACTCGCCACATGTGAGTGGCAGCGAGGCTGACGTGGCCTCTCTGGCTCCCATGGACGCCACGTCCTCGCTCCTGTCTGTGTCACACGCGCTCTATGACAGCCGCCTGCCGCCGGCCTTCTTCAGCGTGCTGGTGCAGGACATGCTGCGCTTCTATGCCGAGCAGGGCGATGTGCAGATGGCTGTGTCTGTGCTCATCGTGCTGGGCGAACGGGTGCGCAGGGACATCGACGAGCAGACCCAGGTGTGGAGGGAGGGCGGGGTCAGCCCTGTGAGTGGGGAGAGGCCCCCCTCCGCACCCGCTGCCCTGCCACGTTGCCTGCCGCCCGCAGGAGCACTGGTACACGTCCTACATCGACCTGCTGCAGCGCTTCCGCCTCTGGAACGTGTCCAACGAGGTGGTCAAGCTCAGCACCAGCCGGGCTGTGAGCTGCCTCAACCAGGCGTCCACCACCCTGCACGTCAACTGCAGCCACTGCAAGCGGCCCATGAGCAGCCGGGGCTGGGTGTGCGACAGGTGGGGCACCGGCCGGGGCCCTGGCCTGTGTGGCCTGTGGCCCTGTGGGCCAGCGGGCCTGCGGCTACCCAGGAGCCCTTGGCTGAGGCACCTTCCTGCCCCCAGGTGCCACCGCTGTGCCAGCATGTGTGCCGTCTGCCACCATGTGGTCAAGGGTCTCTTCGTGTGGTGCCAGGGCTGCAGTCACGGCGGCCACCTGCAGCACATCATGAAGTGGCTGGAGGGTAGCTCCCACTGCCCTGCTGGCTGCGGCCACCTCTGCGAGTACTCCTGATCCAAGGCCGGCCGGCCCGACGCCGCGCGCCCAAGACTCTCGAGCCTGGGGTGGACGGGGGCTGAGCTTGTGAACCCAATAAAAGCAGCAGGAGCCACTGTCAGGCGTTGCCTGTCACCAGACGCGCCGCGGACCGCCTTGTCCTCGCGCGGCGCGACTCGCGGGCGGGAGCTCTCCAGAGGGTGTTGAGGCAGCCATGGAAACCAGTGGTGGCCAATAGCGACTCTGGATGCGGAATTCGCCCCTTCGGCCGGGAACGCGCTTTCCGGGGCGGGCCGTTGCCAAGACGACGGGCTTCCGGCCAATGGGGAGGCGCGGGAGCCTCCCGGCATGCTGCGCGGTGGCGCTGCGGGCGCCCGGGCGGCCTGGCGGGCTCATGGCGCCAGGGACGCGGCCGTTCTTGCTGCTTGCGCTCTG